CCAATATTTGGATCATTATGAATCTTTTTATTATCTGTTTTTGCTCTTGGTTTTGCTCATTTAGTCTTGCCTGTTATTATGACAGGTGATTTTAAAAATTGTATTCTACATTATTATATATGAAAAATTATAGAAGCCCTAGATGATGTTGTCTTCCACCAGAAATGTTCCATCCTTTGCTTTGTTAAGCGTGTTGAGTGAGGATGATCATCTTCATCCAACTAGGGACTTAACTGATTTAAAGACTGAATTACAGTTTTGGTAAGGCTCAGTCTGTCTCTATATTTTCTGTTTACCTAGCATTTTCTCTGCTGGACTGCAAGCAGGGCAGGGTTTTTGTTTTGTTTTATTGTCGGCTTGTTTTATAATTTATTGCTAACACCTACCCAAAGGCCTAGCATTGAATGAATGCTTGTGTTATTTGTAATAGAACTCATCACCTCAGTGCTCTATGCTTTTAGGGTCCTAATATAATTTAGAAGATAAAGACTGGCAGAAGTTCACTGGCGTAATCTTAGAAAATGTTATTTCCTACAAGGTGCTTATCATACCATGAGAGACTAGCAATATCTCTGCCCCATCCTAATTCATAGTGGAACACAGTTGTCAAGATTTTATAAATGGCACCACCATACCAAACATTACAATATCTTCATGTATTTTCCCAGTTGGTTTACTATAAAAGAATCTATCACCATGAAAATATAAAAACATAAAAGAATAAAAGAGGAGGGAAAAGCCCTGCTATTTTTCTTATTATTTGATATTATGTGGCATAATTTCTAGACTTAATAGTGACAATGCATTTTATCTAAATTTTGCTCTGGATATAGCAGAGATATTTTGGTGTAATTATCTGGGATCATTGCTTTTAGGAGAGAGGGCTTTGAAACAATAACAATTTGTTGAATGAATAAATAAATGAACAAATGCATCATAAAAAGTAAATGCATAATTTACAATTATTGGAGAAATATTAACCACCATTCAGGTTAACCTTTGTAATAATCTAGAATCCCAAGTTGGAAACCACTGGGCTGAACAAGTAACTTCCTTTTAGTGCATCTGTTCTAGCTTCATCCAAGCACAATTACAATATTTCATGGACTGCTATAATTTGGAAAAAATGTAAAGGCCATCTCACTAACTGTCTAAATTGAGTTTTAAAATTCATTCTTGCAGCTCCTGGGATTTGAATGTGTCTCCTCTAAAATTCAGATTTTCTCAGTGTGATAGCATTAAGGGGTAAGACCTATAAGAGGTGATTAGGCCAACTAAGGCACCTCCGCCATTTTCAATGGGATTAGGTGCCCTTATAAAGGGGCTTTTGCCCTTCCACCATCTGCCAGGTGAGGACACAGCATTCTTCCCTTCCAGCGGACACAGCTAAAAGGTCCACACTGGACATGAGATGCGGTGTCTTACTCTTGGACTTCCCAGCCTCCAGAATTAAGAGATAAATTTCTGTTCTTTATAATTTACCTAGTCTCAGGTACTCTGTTATAGCAGAACAAATTGACAAAGACAGTAGCATCCTTAACAGATCGTGTTCTAGATTTTGTGTCAGACAAATGCCTCTACCTGCCTTTCTCTTCTATCTTCTTCACATTTTTCGTGTTACCCAGCCAGCCTTGAAGGAAAAGCTGATCTACGGTCTCTCTCCAGAATAAATATAAGGGCAACCAAGGTAGATATAACAGTTGTATGCATATCAGAGTCCTGTCTTTGCTGCTGCCTCTGCCAGGCACTTTAACAGCTTGTTGTACCTCTACTATCCCAGGTACCCTATTTGCCTGCTATTTGCTGATTAGTTTCATCTGACTATTTGACGATGACCTTCCCTCTGCTCCCATTTCTAGTACTCTTTTTATATATTTATGTAGATTTTATGTATGTCAACCAGCTTGGATGTTTTTGTACTTTTATGTAGCCTTTGATTCATTGCTGCCTAAAGCTTTATGCTTTTGGTATAACACACTTACCTAGTTCTAGAAGCCTACTTAACCCACTTAGTCAAGGGCTGCTTTTAACCAATGTGTCAGGGAGTTTGCTACCTCTCAAAAGAATTCATTCTAATGTTGGACCTTTTTTTTTTTTTTTTTTTTGACGGAGTTTCACTCTTTTTGCCCAGGCTGGAGTGCAATGGCACAGTCTCAGCTCACTGCAACCTCCACCTCCCAGGTTCGAGTGATTCTCCTGCCTCAGCCTCCTGAGTAGCTGGGATTACAGGTGTGCACCACCACACCTGGCTAATTTTTGTACTTTTAGTAGAGATGGGGTTTCGCCATGTTGGCCAGGCTGGTCTCGAACTCTTGACCTCAGAAGATCTGCCTGTCCAGCCTCCCTAAGTGCTAGGATTACAGGCGTGAGCCACCGCGCCCAGCGGACAATTCTAATTGTTCTTTGTTTTCTGTTGTTAAAGTCTGTCTCCAGGTCACTTCTACTTATTTGACCTTGTTTGGCCATAGGGAACACATAAAGTACTTCATCTATGTGACAGCTCCTCAAATGTTTGAAGCCTACAGTCACTTCCACCTTTAGTTTTTGCTCTCCAGTCTAAATTGCCTTCTTTGGTTGTTGCTAGATATTCCACCACCTCATTTACCCTGCTGTAGCTTCTTAGTACTGTAGTCAGCAGGTGCTGAAGAGGCCAGGACCAAGGGCAGAGGCTTGTGTCACTCCATTAGAAACCCAAAGCAACTGAGCAACACAGTTATTCAACCAGTGCTGGATCTGCTTAACAAGACAGGATTCTCTAGCTTAGGAACTTTAATTTTCAGAAGTTCATTTACAATTTAGTTGTTTTAAACTGAAAATGATTTTTCCTTGGTGTTTTCTTTCCTGTTTAATGGCCAATTTACCAACTTATTACCTATTGCCTAAATCTCTCAGGTGAAATCAAGAGCAGGTTTCCCCTTTTGTGGGTTGGCTCTTACATAGAGAAGAGACTTACCAACCATAAACAAGCTTTATTGCTGTTTGTCTGCCTTCCTGAAACCCAGTAAGGAAGAAGCAAAGGTTTCTAACTCAGGAAAAAGTAAGGAGGCAGAGATTTGGGCACCGTACAGATGGCTTTCAGTCCTTGAGGAGCATTGGGTCTGCCACACCAGGTTAGGGGTAAGACAACATTAGGTGTAATAGCAATGGCACAGACTGAAGAGCATATTACACCATATTACACCAGACTTATCCAGAGAGTGGGCTCAATGTGCTCCTATTTGGGTTGATGCATTCATGGCTTTTATCAGGAGTGGCTAGGCATTGATGAATCAAGCTGCATATGCTAAGTAACTCACCAACCCTTGTAAATTGCATTACTGAAAACCAATGATATTGAGCACATGCATATTCAAACATGTATATAAATTCAAAATAGTGGACTAAATATATATATATTTTATATATATGTTTTATATATATTTTATATATATATATATATATATTTTTTTTTTTGAGAGAGCCTCGCGCTGTCGCCCAGGCTAGAGTACAATGGTGCGATCTTGGGCTCACTGCAACCTCCCACCTCCCAGGTTCTAGCGGATTCTCCCTGCCTCAGCCCCCCGAGTAGCTTGGGATTACAGGCACCCACCACCACGTCCGGCTATATTTTTGTAGTTTTAGTAGAACAGGGTTTTGCCGTGTTGGCCGGGCTGGTCCTTGAACTCCTGACCTCAGGTGATCCACCTGCCTCAAGCTCTCCAAAGTTGGCGGGATTACACAAGTGTCCAGCCACCACACTCAGCCTATTCCGTTTTACTTTCTTAATAAACTTGCTTGTACAAAAAAAACAAAAAACAAAAACAAAAAAAGGGTGGTCAGTGTGGGTGGCTCACACCTTGTAATCCAGGCAACTTGGGAGGCCAAGGCGGTGGATCACGAGGTCAGGAGATTCAAGGACCATCCCTGGCCCACATGGTGAATCACCATCTCTACTAAAACACAAACATTAGGCTGGTGTGGTGGCATGCGCCTGTAGTCCAGTACTTTGGGAGCTGAGGCAGGAGAATCACTGGAACCCGGGAGGTGGGAGGTTGCAGTGAGCGAGATCGCACCACTGCACACTGCACTGCCCAGCCTGGGTGACAGAGTGAGACTCGTCTCAAAAAAAAGATGGACTGAAACAGATGAATCATATTCCATATTACTAAGGCCTATGGACTTCAGAAATTTAAGGACAATCTAGTATCCAAATGGAACAATCTCATGTACAAAACAGGTGCTTTCTTTCTTTCTTTTTTTTTTTTTTTTTTTTTGAGACGGAGTTTTGCTCCTGTGCCCAGGCTGGAGTGGCAGTAGCGGATCTCGGCTCACTGCAAGCTCGCCCCTGGGTTCACGCCATTCTCCTGCTCCGCCTCCAGAGTTGGGCTGGGACTACAAGGCGGCCGCCACCATCGCCCGGGCTAATTTTCTTGTATTTTTAGTAGAGACGGGGTTTCACCGTGTTAGCCAGGATGGTCTCGATCTCCTGACCTCATGATCTGCCTGTCTCGGCCTCCCAAAGTGCTGGGATTACAGGCATGAGCCACCGCGCCCGGCCAAAAACAGGTGCTTTTCTTATAGGAATTGCTTAGAGGGCCCAGTCTCCTGAAGATAATTTCCCAGAGGATCACCAGTGTATCCATTCATAAACAATGTTTTAATAAGTAATTCTCTTTTAACTCTGGCCCACGGTTCTATACACCATTTGTCATAGTGTTTCCATAGGAAATTATTTTTGGTTTTATAACTTGAAAGTCCAACTTCCACTCCACCAGCACACAATGGTGAGATAGATGACAATAGTTAATAGCAAGATGATTAAAATACTGTAATATAAATATATTTGATGAAATTAAGAGTCATAATCAATTTAAGGAAAAAGAATCAAATTATTGTTTTTTGTTTTTCTATATCTCTTGATTTTCCTTCAATTGAAATGTTACTTTTATAAAGAAAAGTTTCTTATAATTTCAAAAGAAACTGAATCAAATTAACATCGTGCACTTATTTTTCTTTACAAGGCAATAAAATATGACCTGGGAAGTTCATTTATGAACAAAATGGAAGGTCCAAGGGAAATACACCAATTAGACCTCAACATTGTGGGTTTGCAATTCAGCCATCATCATCTCTTCAATCAAGAACAAGTATTATGTGCTAGGCTTCTCCAACTATATGAATGTTTTCAGGACAGGCAGCAACAGAATGTATCTCAGCTGCTTTATGAGAAGGTGAGAATGGCTTTCATTATAAAGCTAAACATTTAATATTGAAAGAGAAAAAAATTCCTTGTCCAGAGCAAATTATCAGAACATTTTCTAAATATTTAAGTAGAACAATGGTTCAATTTCAGTTTCTCTGAAAAGAAACTGTAGGAATTGACTGACTGGGGAGAAAGCTTTAAATATATCCAATGGCATATTTATTTACCACAAATGGTTTACTAATCAATGGTATTCTTGGTCCTATAGCTCAAGAAGAGTATTTGAAATGATTGTCACTGAAAAGAGCCATGTGGCTTTTTTAAGTCTTGTAATAAAGTATTTTAATTAAAATATTAGAAATCTTGAATCTCGTAACAAATCTGAAGAGTCTTGGTCCGAAGCTGATTAATCCAAGTAGTCATCTCATGACATCATGAGGGCTATATGAAGTCTGAAGAGAAATAGAAGGAGTACCCACTGATTACTTTTACAAACTTGTGCCTCATTTAAACTCTCTGCTAGGTTTCTGATATATGAGCATTTTGTTGACTAGTGTTCTCTTGGGAAAGGTATTTTGATAGTATGTCTCATTCAACTAATGAATACATTTGAAATCAAATACTTGTAAGATATTTAATGAAACATTCAATCCCGATGGAGCCACAGAGCCATTTCAATAAACTGGACATGAACTAATTATGAACCTTCATAAATATCTGTTATGAACCTTCATAAATATCTGCTTTTTTATTTTTATTTTTGAGACGGAGTCTTGCTCTGTCACCCAGGCTAGAGTGCGGTGGCGTGATCTTGGCTCCCTGCAACCTCTGCCTCCCGAGTTCAAGTGATTCTCTTGCCTCAGCCTCCCGAGTAGCTGGGACTACAGGTGCCCACCACATGCGTGGCTAATTTTTGTGTTTTTAGTAGAGATGGGGTTTTGCCATGTTGGCCAGGCTGGTCTCGAACTTCTGACCTCAGGTGATCTGCCTGCCTTGGCCTCCCAAATTGCTGAGATTACAGGTATGAGCCACCACACTCGGCCGATATCTGCTTTTTAAAATACAAGTTTAGGCCGGGCGCGGTGGCTCAAGCCTGTAATCCCAGCACTTTGGGAGGCCGAGACGGGCGGATCACGAGGTCAGGAGATCGAGACCATCCTGGCTAACACAGTGAAACCCCGTCTCTACTAAAAAATACAAAAAACTAGCCGGGCGCGGTGGCGGGCGCCTGTAGTCCCAGCTACTCAGGAGGCTGAGGCAGGAGAATGGCGTGAACCCGGGAGGCGGAGCTTGCAGTGAGCTGAGATCCAGCCACTGCACTCCAGCCTGGGCGGCAGAGCGAGACTCCGTCTCAAAAAAAAAAACAAGTTTAAAACCCACAGGACTTAATCCTTTTTTTTTTTTTTTTTTTTTGAGATAAGGTCTCATTCAGGCTGCAATGCAGTGGCTCAATCATGGTTCACTGCAGCCTCAACCTCCCAGGCTCAAGCTGTCCTCCCACTTCAGACTCCTGAGTAGCTGGAACTACAGGTGTGCACCACCACACCTGGCTAAAGTTTTTTTCTCTTTCATAGAGACAGGCTTTTGCCATGTTGCCCAGGCTGCTCTTGAACTCCTGGGCTCAAGTGATTTGCCTGCCTCGGACTCCTTAAATGTTGGGATTACAGGTCTGAGACACCATGCCCAGCCAGGAGTTAATCTATTTGATTTGATGGAGCAACTGTGTGGGAGAACTTAATAGATGAACACCATGCATTAGCAATATCAGAATATTTCCTAAAATCAATATTGGATATTCTAACTTTTAGTAAAATATGGCCATTTTTTAAATGAATGAAGGAAACAACTCAGATTAAAATGCAGGTCATTTAAAAAGTGATTTGATATACAGATTTCTGCTTTACAGAATTTTTTCCAATAATATTATAGAATCTTTAAAGTCTTATCTAACAATATCAATTGTAGTTTATTAGAGTACCATCTATTAAAGTATATATGGACTCTAGGTTTATTTTTCATGTATATGCATGGCTCTGTGCATAAAATAAAAACTTTTGGGGTTATTATTTGCAATATGTTTCAGTATTATTATTGTATTAGGAGCCAAATGTAATTTCTTAGCAGATTTTTACTTGTTTTCAATTTATTCTCTTATATGAATATAAATATTTTCTCTACCTCCCAGTAAATTGTAAAAAGAGAAATGTGGTTGGAAGTGTGCATAATCTTCTCTTCTAAGGTGGAGAAGAGCAGTGGGGAAGAGAAGAAAAGGCCACATGGTGCAGAGCGTGTCCGTCGGCCTCCCACCAAAAGATTAATTTCTTAAACATGGATAATTTAGACACTGGGTGTGAAATGTACGGCTTTGCCTGTTCCCAGTGTTTTCAAACCAATTCAGAGTAGTGGAAGAGTCATTGGCATCCAAAAAATTCTTAAACTGAAATATGCTCCTTTATATGAGTATGAATTCCACTTAAAGAACAAAGAGGGATGTTGCTGATAGTATGAGAGAGTAGAAAGGATGCTCAGCTATGCAGACTTCTGCTCTTTTTCCCTCTAGCTTTAAAAAATTGTACAAATAATACAGGAATACATTCACACTGGAAAAGATTAATTGTAGAAGTGTCAAGATGTGAAAGCCCTAATTCATTCCACACCTCATAGTTTGGACATCCTTTAGCTCTTTAAGTACATCCTTAAAGTTCTCTTCTCCCTGTATTTCTATATGTATGTATGCCATGATTGTTTTTAACATAAATTGGATCTTACCATAGGTATTATTTGGCAACTTGGTTTTTTTTAGATACAGCATCTTGTTATGTTGCCCAGGCTGGACTCAAACTCCTGGGCTCAAGCAATCCTCCCACCTCAGCCTCCCAAGTAGGTGAGACTACAGGTGTGCACCACCATGCCCAGCTGGTTTTCTGAAATTAATACTCTATCTTGGAACTTTATATGTATCACTATTATATATATATGTCCATAATATAGGTTTATTTCAATATATTTAACATATTTAATCACTCCCATTCAATGGCACTTAGGTAATTTCTTTATGATTAATAATGAAGCAGTGAATATCCTTGTACCTATATATTTGAGCACATCTATGAAAACTTCTATAGGATAGACCCATAGAAGTGAAGTTGCCTGGTCAGTTAAGGGTATATGCAGTTTAAACTTTGTTAGAAAGTGATAAAATGCCTTTTCCAAATGTTTTTCCAATTTGAATTTCCACTGGCAAGGCAGGACAGAGTCCACTTCCCAGAGACTTCACCAATATTCAGTATTATTTTCTAGCTTCATCTTTAATTAATTCATGAGTTAAAAAATAATATATAGGCCGGGCACGGTGGCTCATACCTGTAATCCCAGCACTTTGGGAGGCTGAAGCGGGTGGATCACGAGGTCAGGAGATCGAGACCATCCTGGCTAACATGGTGAAACCCCGTCTCTACTAAAAATATAAAAAATTAGCCTGGTGTGGTGGCGGGTGCCTGTAGTCCCAGCTACTTGGGAGGTTGAGACAGGAGAATGGCGTGAACCCGGGAGGTGGAGCTTGCAGTGAGCCGAGATGGCGCCACTGCACTCCAGCCTGGGTGACAGAGTGAGACTCTGTCTCAAAAAAATAAAAAATAAAAAAATAGTAATAATAATAATATATATATTTTTTCTAGATGTAAGTCCATAAAAGAAGTATATCTTTTAAATATGTTTTACATATTTTTGTCCTATTCTGTTACTTGATTTAAACTTTATTATATATTTCAGCGAACATTTTAAATTAAAAAAAATTCTTTTTGAGAAAGGTCTCACTCTGTCACCCAGAGTGCAATTATAACTCACTTCCGCCTCTTAACTCCTGGGCTCAAGTGATGCTGTCACTCAGCCTCCCTGGCTGGGACTACAGGTACATGCCACAACAACCAGGTCATTTAAAAAATTTTTTTTAGAAACAAGGTCTTTCTATGTTGCCAGGCTGGCCTTGAAATCTTGGCCTCAAGCAATCCTCCTACCTCAGCTTCCTGAGTTTTTGGAATTACAGGCATGAGCCACTGAACTTGGCAAGCATTTTACATTTTTACGAGGTCAAATCTGTTAATCTTTTCCCTTATGAATTTTAGATTTTTTTTGTTTGCTTCCTAAGCTTCCTAAGACCTTCTCTAGCCCAAGTTTATCAATTAGCCTATTTTTGGTTGCAATTCAAGGAAAACTTCATCTCAGTTACTTCAGACAATAAGGAAAGGCATTACCTCATATTGTCCAAGTTAGGGCAGCTCTAGGTTTGGTTAATTTGGTGTCTCGACAATATTATCAACAACCCTAGCCTTTTCTGTCCTTCTCTTCATCTTCAGCAAGTCGACTTGAGGTTAGCCCCACTGATGGAAGCTAACCAAGTGGCTGCTCCAGTTCAAGGCGTGCTGGTCAGATAGATAATATGCAGCGTAGTGTCTCACGTTGAGAGCCTTCTCCAATCTCTCTCTTGTCCTGCAGCAGATTTCCCCTAATATCTCATTGGCTAGAATTATTTCACATGATCATGCCTAAACTGTTCATTGGCAAGAATGAAATTGCTGCAAATAGCTGCACTAATCAGTTTACCTCAAAAACACATGGAAAATGGTTGAGCAATTGAACAAAATTGGTGTTCTGCCAACCAAGAAAAATGATCCTTTAAGGGCAATGAATAGTGTCTGACAGACCAAAATTATAAAGACTTCCTTTTATATATCCTTGTGGTGTATATTATATATGTGTTTGTATATGTGTATACATATGGATGTGTGAGTATATGTGTGTGTGTGTGTCAAAGGGCATGTGTGTATATAATCTCCAGCCTTTTCTATCTAGAGTTTATATCTGTGTCTCAGGTGAGACTGGGCTCCAACTCCACTCTTTCTCCCAAAAGATCAGCCTAATATCCAAATACCATCATTTATTTCCCTACTGATTTAAAATACTAACTTTATCCTATACCAGCTGCACATATTTATTAACATATAGGTTTGCTTGAGGACTAGTATGGTCTAGTTCCATACTGTTTCATTACCATATTTAATTATTAAATTATATGTCATAGCACAAGTACCTCCTCATTGTTGTTCTTTTCTAGAATGTTTTTGGATACCCCATAGATTTTATCTTCCATATGAACCTTAGAATTAGCTTGTCACCTTCTATTTTTAAAATCCTGTTACCATCTTTATTGTGATTGTGTTGTAGTGTTACATTAATTTTGAAAGAAATTTGATCCTCATAAAAATTGGGTTACCTCTTCCAGGAATATAGTTTGTTTTCCTATGTTTAGGTCTTCTCGTATGTCTTCCAGTAAAAGTTTATATCAATTGACTCTAGTCTTGAAGTTCCCACAAATTACCCCTACCTGTGACAGACTTCTCCTTTATGTGTTTTAGGGCCTAGTTTCCTCCTATTCTATTGCTCTATGGATGTTACTCTGTTTTATACCTTCTGTAGTATATCTTGTTCTCTTGATTTTATTCTTATGCACTTATCTGTAAAGACAGTTATCAGTATATTTATATAGATATTGATGTGATGATGGCAATGGATGTGGATAAAGACAGACATATGTTTTTTCTGTAACTATGGGATTTTAGGTAAACGATAAGATTGGTACCTGTGCTCAATATTCCTTCTTGATCTAATGACATTTCTTTATATCAATTGATGAATTGATTGTCTAGTAATGTTCAAGATACTAGATGTTATTAGATACTAAATTGATGTTTATTGCCTACATAGATATTGAGGCTCTTCTCAGTTCCTCCCCAAGGTGCTTATATAAAATATATTGTGGAAGATAAGCCAATAATACACACAAAGTTATACATTTGTTCTGCTGCTGCACACACCTTGACCTATAGGTGAGCTGGAGTAATGGTAACAGGTGGATAAAATATACCAAAGAGCTCTTTTTTTGTTGTTATAGCTGAAAGCACTGACAGATGCTACTGAATTGTCAAATGAAAATTCAGAAATAAACCAGCTGACGAGAAAATCTTTACAAGATTATTATTGGCAAATAAGGTAGGTTTTGAGCCATTCATGTTCATCAAGCATTCATTAGATAACTTCTTTAGACAAAGTACTGCACTTGCTATGGAAGATAAAGAAAAGTACACAATCCCTACTTTTTAGGCGATTACAGAAATGGTTTCAATCTTTTTTAAGACCCACGTTTGTGTAAAAATATTTCACAGGGGTGCCATGTGAAAGTAATTCTAGTTTTAACATCCATTGATTTTTTAAAAAAAGTTGAAGAACTATAAGTTCATGAGTACTTTGAAATTGACTTGGATTATATTGATCTGAAGTGTTAGTGTATATTTGATAATTGGTGCACATTTACACATGTGCCAGATATATTATTATTTCAGAGTCTAAAGACACTATTTCACAAGTAGTGGATTTAAGGACCCCTGTAAAAAGCATGGTCTACAAGTTGGGAGCCATTGGCATATAGACTGGAAAGCGAAGTTATGAAAGTGTGAAATAACTGGAAAAGTAATTCCAAGACAAAACATATTCATGTGTCACAGAATCTCTAAGAGCAGGAAAATTCACTGGAAGGTATTCGTAATCAGAAGACAGCCTTCATTCAGATTTCTGACATGAATTTATACAACTTATTTAGCCTAAAATGTATCTCAGATATAGAATTTAACTTAAAATAGTCCCAGATTGGCATTGGCACCAAACAACTGGCAAAGCAAATACATATTTTTCCTGAAAGACCACAGTTTTAATCCTAGCTCAGAGATTATTCAAAGATATAACACTTTAAAGAACATGAGCTTACAGTTTACAACCTCTTCTATCACACACGCACAGACAGCATGAATAAGAGCCAGAAGAAATAATAGAAGGCTCATACAAAGCAAAAGCTTAAGAAAATAGAATGATCAAATATAGGAAATAATAGAACTTTTTAAAATATGATTTAAAAATAAAAGACAAGCTTGAAAATATGATCTACAAACAAGATAGAGTAAATTACTGAGTACTTCTTGAGCTATTTTTATATAAGAAGAACCAAAGAGAATTTATAGAATTGAAAAACATAAAGTGAAAATTAAAAAAATTCAATGGAAGGAATTTCTAGGAAGATAGAAGAAGCAGCAGCACTAGGAATTCATCTCCCCACCTAGACAGCAGTTGTACTAGCAGAGAACCTATCTGATGTAACTACAGTTGTCCCTCAGTATCTGCAAGGGATTGGTTCCAGAACCTCCTACAGACACCAAAATTCATGGATGTTCAAGTCCCTTGTATAAAACGACATAGTATTTGCATATAACCTATGCACATCCTCTCATATACTTTAAATCATTTCTAGATTACTTATAATACCCACTACAATGTAAATGCTATGTACATAGTTGTTCTACTGTATTTGTTTTTTCACATTATTTTTTACTCTTGTATTGTTATTGTTATTGGCTTTTTAAAAAATGTTTTAAATCTGAGATTGGTTAATCTGTAGATGCAGAACTCATGGATATGAAAAGCCTATATTTTGGAACTCTGGAGTGTATTGAAGGCTTGCAGCATCCAGAGGAAGGCTTGGGTGGTAAATTGGGGTTAATTTTGGTCAATGTCAGCTGTTAGCACAGTAGCAGCTATCTCCCCACCCCTACCCCTCAGCCTCATGGCAGGCAGCTGTGCACATGTTCCTGGAGTAACCCACACACATTTTTCAGGAGCCCAAGGTAAGCAAAAAGGACCTTATCCTACAAATATTGGGAACATGTGCTCTGATCACTGCTTACTTCTAATCACAGAGGTGCAATGAGAGGGGGACCATTATTGTTGTACTTTTCCCCATTGTTGCAAGCCCCTCTATCTCTGGATAAAGTGACTTCCAGGAGATTTAAAAAGCTGGTGCCCCTTCCGCACCCCTTCATTATTTCTTTTTCCTCTTTTGGGATCCAGATATTAAAGACTATGACATTTAAAAGCAACTGCATATACAGGGAAAATTAGAAAGTGACCACACATGCACAGGGAAAGGCATCGACTCAGAAAAGACCTGAGAGGATCTTATGTTTATACCTCAGCCTGATCCTGGGCACAGAGACAGCTGACAATGATGTTTTTGTTTGTTTGTTTGTTTTGGAGACAGAGTCTTGCTCTGTCACCCAGGCAAGAGTGCACTGGCACGATCTTGGCTCACTGTGACCTCTGCTTCCCGGGTTCAAGCGATTCTCCTGCCTCAGCCTCCCAAGTAGCTGGGACTACAGGCACATGCCACCACGCCTGGCTAATTTTTGTATTTTCAGTAGAGATGGGGGTTCACCATGTTGGCCAGGCTGGTCTCGAACTCCTGACGTCAGGTGATCCGCCTGCCCCGGTCTCCCAAAGTCCTGGGATTACAGGTGTGAGCCACCACACCAGGCCATGATTTTTTTAAAAAATAACAATAACAAAAAACAGCAAGCCCTGGGAAAGGAGGACAATGTGATTTCTAGAGTTACCACATTATTAGATTCAAATATCCAGTTTTCAACAACAGAAAAACACAAAGGTGTACAAAAAACAGGAAAGTATGGCCAACTCAAAGGAAAAGAATAAATCAACAGAAACTGTGCCAAAAAAAAAAAAAACCTACTAGATAAAGACCTACTCGATGGCAGATCTACCAGATAAAGACTTTAAAACAACTGTCTTAAAGATGTGCAAAGAACTAAAGAAAGATGTCAAGAAAGTCAAGAAAACTGTATGTTAAACCATGCATAAACAAAATAGGCCAGATGCGGTGGCCCCAAGCCTGTAATCCCAGCACTTTGAGAGGCTGAGGTAGGCAGATTGCTTGAGGCCAGGAGTGCAAGACTAGCCTAGCTAACATGGTGAAACCACATCTGTACTAAAAATACAAAAATTAGCCAAGTGTCTTGGTGTGCACCTGTAGTCCCAGCTACTCTGGAGGCTGAGGCAGGAGAATTGCTTGAACCTGGGAGGCAGAGCTTGCAGTGAGCTGAGATTGTGCCACTGCACTCCAGCCTGGGCAACAGAGTGAGACTCTGTCTCAGTAAATAAATAAATAAACAAATAAACCACATATAAACAAAAAGGAAGTAACAATAAAGAGATAGAAAACTGAAAAAGAGAATGAAGCTGAAAAGTATAATTGAAATGAAAAAGTCACTAGAAAGATTCAAAGGCAGATTACAGCAGGCAGAAGAATGAATTAGTGATCTTGAAGATAGGACAATGTAAATCATTGAATCTGAGCAACAGAAAGAAAAAAAAAATGAAGAAACACAAACAGAGCCTAAGAGACTTGTGGAACACCATTAAGTGGACCAACATATTCATTGGAGGAGATTCAAAAGGAGAAAATAGAGAAAAAGAAAGAAATGAAGATAAAGGGTAAGAGAAATGAAATAACAAAGAGATAAACAGAAATTAACAATAAAACTATAATAGGGAAAATCAATACACTCAAATGTTGGATAAAAATTGATAAACTCTGGGAAAGCTGATCAAGTGGAAAAAGTGAAACAGCACAAATATACAATGTCAGGAAAAGAAAGGGAACATTACTATGGATGCTGTATATTTTAAATAACTTTATGCTAAAGAATATAAACATTTGTATGGAAAAGACAAATCTACACAGAATACAGCTAATCAAACATATTCAAGAAGTGAAAGACAAGGAAGAAAAGAAAAACCTTAAGTAATTCAATAATTGTTAAAGAAATCAATTTGAAACCTTTCTGCAAAGGAAACTCGAGGCTCAGATGACTAGAGTACTTTCTAGAACATTTAAAGCAGTGGGTCTCAAAGTATGGTCCCCAGACCAGAATCATCACCTTCACCTGGGAATTTGTTAGAAATGCACATCATCCAGTCTACCACAGACCACTGAATTGGAAACTCTACAGGTAGGGCCTGGCAATCTGTGTTTAGCCAGCCCTCCCAGTGATTCTGATGCACAAAAAAGTTTCACATCCTCTTATTTAAAGACAAGTACTCTTCTTCACAAACTCTTTCAAATGAAAGAAAAAGAATCTACATTTTCAGCTCATTTAATGAGGTTATCATATCCTTGAAATTAAAACCTGGCAACCGTATAAAAATATTGCAACTGAATTTCATTCATGAGCATAGATACTAAAATACTAAACAAAATTTTATCAAATAATACATTATAACCAAATTTGGATTATTCCAAATTGGAATAATCCAAGGAATGCAAGGATGGTTTAACATTAGAAATTAATCAGTGTAACTTAACATACTAATACAATATGTTAATTAGCGTAATTTAACATACTAATATAATGTGTTTGCAAAGTTATGAAACATAGAAGAAACTTTTTTAAAACAGTATGTTACTTCAATATTCTAAAAATATGATTATTAGCCTATCAGGCAAAGTACCTTTAAATTTGAAGCAGTGTTCTAATTGTTAACCTGAAAAAAGTGTAATAAATACATTATACAATTTCCAGGAAATCTGGAAATACATGGAGAATAGTGTATTTATTTTATTTTTTTCTGATTAATAATTTGATCCATTGCTTTCAGTTTAGAGGTACTTCATTCAAATAGGTGTCAAGAGGTTGAAGAAAAATTGAGCATATGAAGACTCAGAACACTTAAGCAGTTTTCTTAAGTAAGTTGGAGAACCGCAGTTAACACTGGGTTTGTCGACTCCAAGTATCTTGCTATCCTTTCTACTATATCACACTTCTTATGGCACTTACTCAGAATGACCACTCTCCTTTAAGTATTCTTGTTTCACACTTCAGCTACGTGAGTGGACTGGGAGGTAATGGAAGCTTACAAAAAAATGTTGGTAACTGGAGGCTTACAAAAAATGTTGGTAACATTTACAATAAACACCTGTTATCCTGAAGTACTCTGAACCTTGATATCACATGGGGAAACAGACATTGAATGACTTATTACAAGTGTGATGAATATTTAAAAGGAAAAGCATGAAGGGATATGAGAAAATTTAATTTTGTTGTGGGGGTTTTCAAGCAATGCTGTACTGAGGAAGTGATATAAACTGAGTTATGAAATATATATTTTCTTTTTTTTTGAGACAAGGTCTCCATCTGTTGCCTGGCCTGGAGTGCAGTGGCGCAATCACGGCTCACTGCAGTCTCAACCTTCTAGGCTCAAGTGGTCCTCCCACCTCAGTCTCCTGAGTAGCTGGGACTACAAGTGTGCACCATCATGCCCGGCTAATTTTCATAACTTTAGTAGAGACAGAGTTTCACCATGTTGCCCAGGCTGGTCTTGAACTTCTGGGCTCAAGTGATCCACCCCACCTTGGCCTCTAAAATGCTGAGATTATAGGCATGTACCACCATGTTTGGCCTTGAAATGCATATTTTCTATCTTCATGCACTTTAACTAAATAAGAATCCCTCCCCAGCACTTTCTTAGTGTGACTCAAACTCTATGGTACTAGGCTACCACCATCCTTTCCCATCAAGACCTCTTGAGATTTTGGCATCCTTAATCTAAGCCAATACCTCACCAGTGGCTTTGGAACCATCCAACTAGAACTTAGGTGGCAAAATAAAAGTTGTGGGAGCATGCATTGGAAGGGACATGCACCAGCTGATTTGCATCTTCTTTTTTGTAAATAATGAAGTGCCAACCAGAAATTAACTAAATCCTGAATAGACAGCGAGCACAATTATCAAAACATAGGGGCTTTCCACTCCCTTTCTTTTATTGCTCCTTTCTTCCACTATTGCTCTTCTCTCTTTGGTACTTCAGAATCTTGTAGAGTTCTGGCAGGGCTCATTGGCTCACGCTTATAACCCCAGTGCTTTAGGAGGCCAAAGGCAGATCACTTGAGGTCAGAAGTTTGAGACCAGCCTGCCCAACATGGTAAAACCCAATCTCTACTAAAATATAAAAATTAGCCAGGCATGGTGGCACATGCCTGTAGTCCCAGCTACTTGGGAGGCTGAGGCAGGAGAATTGCTTGAACACAGGAGACGGAGGTTGCAGTGAGCTGAGATCGCACCATAGCACTCCAGTCTGGGCAACAGAGTGAGACTCTGTCTCAAAAAAGAAAAAGAAATATCGTAGAGTTCTAGCTAGGCTATTTGTTTTCTCAGGAGCATTTGCATTTTAGCAGGGCACTTTTGAATAGTGAAAAGCCATTAAGTCATAAAGGAACGAATTTCTAATGGAATTGCAGTGGGTAACATAAAATATAGTAACATGGAGTTCAGGTGTATATAAAATGAAAAAAATAAGGTGGGGAGGGAGTTCAAAAGAGTTATTGCAATACATTCTTCCATGCCACCTTTGAAGGCTTTTAGTTCTAATCCACTGACAAATTTTTGCTCTGCTATTTTTGTTGTAGTAATACAAAACAGATGTATGACTTAGAAAGGGGAAAGGACGTCTCCCTACTACGCAGTATATTACGAACTTGGAAACAGATTAAATCTCTTCGACAGCGACAAGGGTTTACAAGCACCCCAATAAAGTTACAGGTTCAGAGGTAAGTGGCTGCTCTATTTGCTCTTATTGGTCTCCTGAGGAACTGCTCATGAATAAGTAGGAATTCACAGTGACTAGGAAGACATCCAGAAGCTAGGAAACTATTCCACGTAGTCGACAAAGAATTTGTATCTTAAATATATAAACATATATATATGCACATATATATTGAATATATAAAGTGGAATTCTTACAACTTAAGAAAACCCAATTAAACATGGGGAAAGAATTTGAACAGACACTTCACTCAAGAATGTATATGGATGGGAAATGAACACATGAAAAGATACTCAACATTGTCATGTCATTCTCTATTGTCATGTCAATAGAGAAATGCAAATTAAAACCACAATTAAACAGTGCTACACACCTATTACGATGGCTAAAATCCAAAACTAAAGGAAAGAAAAGACAAGACATTAACAAATGCTGGAAAGGATGCTGAGCAATGGAAACTGATTCATTGCTGATGGGAATGCAAAATGGTACAGCCACTTTGGAAACAGTTTGGCACATTCTTTTAAAGATGAATGTGGAGCCAGCAATCATACTTTAGGTGAAACACATGTTAGATAATTTGATAAAATCATAAAACCATGTCTGATGGAGGAAATAATTTCAATTCAAATCCAAACACTTAAGCTGTTTGTGAACTCACAGGGAAATAACTAATTTTCTCCCCACAATCCATTGTCCTGGGTCTTTTGGTTTTCAAAAGAATAAAAAGTTAGTACAATTTCAGGCAAATAAGAAAAATGTTTATTTTGTTGATTTTTTTTTTTCCTGTTGCAGTGTTTTGTTGTTGTTTTTTTTTTAACAAAAGTGCTTTGGACGGTTTCTAAACCTAAATCCAGCATTGAACTTTATCTTAGACTCCTAAATTAATGTAAATGTAATGACTTGCTTCTAATCCTTTAAACCAACCTGACACACCCATGCATCATGAATCCTTGAGCAACAAAGAGGAGACACAGATGTCATAGGGTTACCCAAAACAATGTCTTTGGACCCATATTGCCTGCTCAACACTAACTCTTGTTGCCACTATTCTGAACTCCAGTCCCACCTGAGGCCCTTCGCATTTGTTCTTCCTGACATTCAACTTTTCCAGCTGATGTTGGCTTGAATTCGTCTCTCCAGACTGCCTCTCAGCTAAATACCACACTGTCATTCACCAGGTTGGCCCCAGCTGGGCTAGCCCCAGCAACCCTAAATTGGGGCATTTAGTTTAAGCAGTTAAAAGTATCATTCTGATCAATTAGAGAAGCTATCTATTTGAAGATGTTTCTCGGAACTGTTTCCTGGCCAACTTTACCACTGTTGACCTCACAACACACCTGGTCCTTGTGAGCCCTAACTGAATAAACTTGTAGCTAGGCTTCCTGGAGAGATAGTACTCATGATAAGAAGGCGTCGTACCTAGACACTGAGCTCAGGTTATCATTTCATCATGTATTTGGTTTGGGGCATGTTGAAGTTGATGTGCCTTTGAGATATCTCTAAATAAAGCAATTGAGTGGGCAGCTAGGTCCATGGTCTGTGGCATAGTAAATAATCATAATTGAAGATATGAGTGTGTATGAAACTGCCTAGGGAGAAGGCAGAGAATAAGATGAGGAGAGACCCCAAGCACTGAATCTTGAGAAATTGGTTCGAATAGCTTGGTAGAGGAGGAGAAACTAGAGGAAGGACAGAGAAGCGCCCGTTATAGAGTATTTTGCCCCAGAGCAAGGAAGCAGGAGTGTTTTAAGTAGGAGGAAGTGGTTAGCAGTTATTATCAGTTAAGTTCACTACTAAAAATGTTCATTGGATTTCCTGACATGGAGATTATTGATAATCTCAGCTAGAGCAAGTTTTAGAAAGTTACAGGGGCAGAAATGAGGTAGCAGAAAGTTGAAGAAATAGCCCTGTCTTCTCGTGCAGGTGGCAAACTCTCCTTGTTAAATGTTAGCAACACTGCATTCAGCTTAGAGAGACTGGATGTGTCAGTCACTATAGGTGATAGATTGTATTGTCTTCTGCCCCTGAACCCAAACCACAGCACTGGCAAATAACACAGAGAACCCAGATTTCTTATATTGTCTTCACTCATGTTCTCTGTTTGGCACTGGCTACCTGGAGAAGATTCAGATAACTGCCAAAGAAACTTTTAAAATGAGAAAGAAAATGCAAGCTATGCAAGCAGGAAATGCAACAACATTTGGTAAAATAGCATCAGGACCTTCATCATTTCCCAGAGTCATTTGGCTCAGAATAGAAAGGAGGAAGCTATAGACCCTGCCTCAATAGTTTCCCTCAGAAGAAAATCTGGGTATAACACCCATTGTCTAAGTTACTCGTAACACTTATTCCCTAAATTATTATAGATTGAAATCACTTAGGAAGTTCTAAAACGACTGTTCTAATTTAATTAGTATGGGGTATGGTCTGGATATCATGAGTTTTAAAATGCTTCCCTGGTGATTTTAATGTGTAACAAAGGTTAAAAGCCGTTGGTATTAAAGAACAGCAAGTTAATTGATGTCATATTGATTGCCCTGAAACCAAAGAAAATAATAACATTTATTAAGTGTTTGTTTTACTCCAAGTCCTGGGTTGAGCACTTTACTTAAATTAGTGCATTTAATCCTCACAACAACCTAATTTTCAGATGAGAAAAGTGAGGCATAGAGTTCTTAAGTAACTTGCCCAGATTCTGTAGTGCCATTAATGAGGCTGGGTTTTCAGCCCAGGATGCTACCATACAGATAATATCTGCACTTAGTCACCTGTATTCTATTTCAGAAGGCAAAAAGCATATAATAGCTTTTAAACAGCTCTATTGAGATATAATTCACATACCATATGGTTCACCCATTCAAAGTCTCCAGTTCAATTGTTTTTAATAAATTCCCAGAATTATGCAACCATCACCGCAATGTAATCTTAGGATGTTTTAGTCACCGCCAAAGAAATCATCTTCCTAATAGTGGTCACTCCTCATGTGTGCAGACATAGGCTTTTATTTCTTTTGGGTATATGAGTGGAATTGCTGGGTCATATGGTAACTCTGTAGTTAACATTTTTGAGGAACTGCCAGACTGTTTTCCAAAACAGCTGCACCATTTTACATTCCCAACAGAGCATATAATCCTTTTACCAAAGGATTTCCTTCTTGAATGATTAAAATGGAAAACCAACTTATACTGAAAACAATAAACTTTTACACTACCAGAAAAACTTGACCCCTAGATCAATAATTTTCTGACACTGTTCGGATAACTGAGATTTTATCGAACTACTAATAAAAGAGGAATAATAGTACTTACTTCATAGGGTTGTGATAATTAAATCAGTCAATACATGTAAAGTACTTACACTATTGCCTGGCACATACTTAGTAAGTACCCTATAAAGATTAGCTAGTAGTAGTAATAGTAGCAGCAGCAGTGGCAATAGTGCTAATGCCATGAACTGTTTACTGTTTATGCACAAACACCAACTATGACTTACCATTTAATATCACCATGATCACCTGCCCTTATACCTGCTCGGGTTCTCACAGCTTCAAAAATATGAGAGAAAGAAAAATGAGAGGAAACAGGGTATGTGTCCTTTAATTTTTATCTCCCCATTCCCCTGTTACTTATTCTCACCAGAGGAAAGGTTTCTTGATGCCCTTGGAAAGGGCTGTAAACACTAATGGTAAATGTACTGGAAGCTGAGAACAAGCTTATAAAGTTTTTTTTAATATTTATCAAATTGGTAATTTCCTTAGAATGTAAAATTACTTGTAAGAGATTGGTTTTGTGTGTATGCGTGTGTGTGTGTATGTGTTTTGGCAAAAACTGAAACAACTCTCAAATACCTCCATTATTTCTGCTTTCAATAATTCTGTTTATTATTAATTAGGATAAAAATGAATAAATGTGATGAACAAGAGCAAATCTCAGAAATGTCTGAAACTGAGAAGAAAAATGAAGGAAAAGAACTTAATGGGAAAAAACAGGAGGTATTTATATTGCAAAATAACATTAAATTCAACTAGTTGTAATATTTTATTTTTTGATAGAATATGAAATATTGGTATTTCTAACAGTTATCCAACAAAATGACAAATACATGAAATAAATGAATTTTAAGAATAAATGTCCTACACAAGGGATATACATGATAAATTATATATTTATTTTTTTATTTCTAGAGCCTCTCATATCTAGCTTCAGATGAAACAGAAATTGAAAGAATAAAGCCAATTACCTTGAGGCCACAACTTTCTTTCACTGCAGAATTAACAAGCTTATCCAAGTGTTCATTGTAAGCATGTTTAAATTGTCTATTAATTGGATTGTTTTTAATAATAAAGTGGGATTTCTTGAGTGAGTGCTATATGCCAGGCACTCTAAGTTTTTAAAAACACATTTTCACATTTAATTGTCACCATAGCTCTATAGAGTTCCATATTATCCTTATCTTAAAGCAGGAATGTAGCTTATGGGAAGTTAAATTGCCCAGGTTCACACATCTAATACATGACTGAGGTGGGACTTAAACCAGTTTGGTGTTCTATAGAAACTGTGGTGTCTTCACTGCTAGGCTTCATATATTGATAATTTGTGGGGTTTTTTTTTGTTGTTTTGTTTTGGTTTTTGCTATGGTAATAATTTTTGTTCAGGTATAAAAAGATATAAAGCCACTGTAAAAAGTAATACACCATTGCCTTTGCTTGTTAAAGGAACTCTGGCTCTCATAAAAACTATTTCACATCAAGAGGGCCGGGCCCCCTAAACAATTTTCTTCTTTGACATTACAAACTTCTTTACTTCCCAGTTGTGATTTCTTCCTTGAGCTATAATGTTTTCTCTCTTTGCCTAGAACAGTATGCAAACACGGACATCGTAGGTAACCCCATTTCTCCATCTACTAGGCCTATGGATCCCATCTCCCTTAAAGAGGATATGGCAACTTAGAGTACTAGGTCTAAGTTTTCAACATCTCTATCCCATGGCACACTTGGTACCAGTCCATCTTTGAGTATTGGGAATGTGCATCATTTAGCAGTGTTGGAACATACTGGGTACTCAATAAATGTTTATATTTATTAAATGAATGAATGGATGATTACATTAACAACCAAAAGAGCAGCAGACACAAAGTCACAATTATCACCACCCACTTTCTGACCAGAGAAGTGCAGCAGTGAAGAAATCCTTTATTTGTTCTGCACCTCCTTCCAAAAAGGGCCTGAGATATTTTGTTATGTAGGACACTCATATAAAAGGACTATCTAAATAAGGGTAAGAATACAGGAGCCATAAAATGAAAGTTGGAGTGAGAGAGAAAAAAGAGGAGGAATAAGATATTTGTGCTGGAAAACCTAGACTAAAACTTAGTGGAAGTCAAGGCAAAAGGATGTATGGTGTTTTATATCTTTGCAAAGCCATTGCCATCTGAAGATAGCATTGCCGTCATCTATTTAAAATATCCAATTGAATAAAAACTCATTCTCCAGAGAAGAATAATATGTCGATATAGAGGATAGAAGTGAAAAGAATAGAGAGATTAGAGAGGAATTAAAAAGAGTTTACAGGTGAAGAGAAAGGCAAGATTTCCTGAAGATAATTATAACCCTGAATCAACAAATTTTTATAATTAATTCATGAACTCATTGTTAAAACTACTTTTAGAGGGCAACAGAAAGGGTAGCTTTTACTTAGATATTTCTTGAAAGGTAATTGGGAATATGGTCAAAAGAGGCCAACAGGGAGATAAGAATAAGTAATCTTTTGTCCTCTAACTCTTTGAGAAGGTTACAGAGATGGACAGGTAATAGGGTAGAGACATACTGGGCCCATAGGGTGATTAGACCGGGGAGCAGAAGGGGATTTTATGTTTCAGCTTAGGGTTTATCTTCCACCCAGCCTTCTCCCTTCTGAAAAAGAGGATCAAGTCTTAAACATCATTAGGTGAGTTCTCTTGCAGCTAGGAAGATATTCAATAAATGTTGGTTGACTGAATTAAAGAATGAATGAAAGACTCTAGGAGTTTTATATCAGTCAAGGGATCAACTTATGCCTCAACAAGTGTTTTCCCCAGGGAAATAACCTGGCTTGCTCCTTTGATCTTTGGGTTCAGAGATAGCGTGGCTTCCCCACTGTCCTGGAGAAAAGGGGTACACAGCCTAAGGTGATTTACAGAGACCTTTAAGAGAACACAGCAAGCCTGTTGCCGTAGAGCCACATCTTTGAAGTTATTGACAACATGGTGTGTGGAGGGTTGTGTGTTTGTGTATGTAGTCTATGTGTGTGTCTTTTTAAAGTTAGAAAATATTTTTAAATTCTTGATTCAACCTCCCCTCGCCATTCCCAAGCCCCTCAGTTTTTTCCTCTCATAAGACATGTGGTAGATACGTGGTTTAGTCTCTTTAAACTGTGAAATAATAGCTGAATGATTTATAGCACCTTGATTTTAGTTCTTCTAGTTTTGAATGCATATTTTGGGTACATCTCTTTCGTTAAAAACATTTGACTGGGAAGAAGAAATTTTTATCCACATGTAGACAAGTGTTATTTGATGTAAAGATAACATTTGTCCTCTGAAATTATCTTCTGTTTAACATGCTAATATACATTTTGAAAGAACAATATGTTATGTTTATTGTACTTTCTAAGGGTGATTTAAAGGTTTATTTAATTTTTAGGGATGAACAAAAAAGAAGAGCCAGAATTCAGAAACTCAAATACTTTATTAAAATATTTTACAACAATAAACAGGTTTCTTGTACTTCAGTATCTCCCCTACAGTTTGATTTTAAAGTCATGTTTCAGCAGATTTTCAATATTCAGTTAATATATTGGCCTGAAGTGATTTGCTTGGAGGTATGCCATTGTCATTTACTTTCGTATCTTATTTTATGCCATACATAATTTAAAATTTTTTGTCAGCTACAGTTATATGTGATCAGTAATTTCTTTGATGTTAAGAGATGGACTGATCTTTATGTGTAGATGATATTTATAAATGTATAATTCACCACCAGTCTCTTATACTGTAAGTACAAAGTTACTTGATTTGTGGTGTTCCAAATACTCCTCTCCTGCTAAAATTTCTGCACCCCTGGATGTGCAGCACTACTATTCATTTGCAATGAGGTGGAAAAGTGCTGTTTAAAGTATTATGAGTATCATAGCTATTTTAAGTGTTGAATGATTTCTATAATATGAACTTCCACATCCCTGACTTGGTGGCTTCAGTCTCTTGCTGTATTTGTTCTTCCTCTTTTTTTGGATTTTTAGGTCCCTCTAAGAATCAGATGAAAGAATATACATACAAAAGATCCCCAGTCTCTGTGCAAAGATCCCACTGTAAGAACCCCCACACTAATGGAAGAAGAAAATAGGATGATGGAGAAAAATGAGAGACAGTAAAGGAGTCTAGACAAGAAGTCCTGGTGGCAATAATGGGGTTAAACTTGAAGCTAGACTAGAAAAAAAAGTTAGGAGGGAATAAAGATTTGTGTGTAGGAAGGGAGGCGCTTGAGGAGTAGGGAGATAATTGTAGTCACAATATAAATCAAAATTATTTTTATAATGCCGAGAATAATTTTACTCTCTCCCTGATAGATGTTCTATTCATTATTCATGTATTCAGGTTTCCATCATCTTACAATGTCCCTCTGTTGAAATTCCTACATTAAAAATATGCCGACTTTCCACACTGCATTCCTAATACAAAAAAACAAAACAAAACAAAAACAACAAGAACTATAGTTTCCTACTGTTGTCCCAAAGTAAATTGTGATATAATAATCCAATCACTTGAAGTTTAAAATCTGCCTCCCCAAATAGGTAAATGTGTATTTTGAGTCCTTTATCATCCTATCACTTAGCATGTGAGCCTAACAAACTAAGAAGCAGGGAGGGAGAGGAATCTAGTTAGAGATAAATTCACCATTAGCAAATGCAAAAATTCCAAAATAAATCGATATGACCTAGCCTAACAGACTTTAACCTACTTTTTTAATTCTTTTTTTTTTTTTTTTTTCTCAGATGAAGTCTCGCCCTGTTGCCCAGGCTGGAGTGCAGTGGCGTGATCCCAGCCACCACAACCTCCACCTCCTGGGTTCAAGCAATTCTCCTTCCTCAGCCTCCCAAGTAGCTGGGATACAGATGCCCGCTACCACGCCCAGCTAATTTTTGTATTTTTAGTACAAAAATACTAAACAGGGTTTCACCATGTTGGCCAGGCTAGTCTTGAACTCCTGACCTCAAGTGATCTGTCTGCCTCAGCCTCCCAAAGAGCTGGAATTGCAGGCATGAACCAACACGCCTGCCTTTAATGCATTTCTTACTACTACTCTTTATTCATTCATCACTTCAGCCAAACTGAGCTGCTTGTCTTTTCCCACATGTGCTTGTAATTTCCTACCTCTTAGCTTTTGTACATGTTAGCTGCACCATTTAAAAATGCCCATTTTTTCATTCTTACCACTTTTAAGATGCTCAATCTCATCTGCATCATGGTGTTGACAGTTGTCATCAGGGGACAAGACTGGCTCCTGGGAACCCTCAACTGATAAAATTCTCTATCTCAGTACACTTACCTTGCTGTGCAGGGGTTGGCCTCCAGCCTTGTAGTCCAAGAACCTGGGTTTGACAGTCCACTGAGAATGCATCCTACATACCCTAAGCAAATTCACAAGGCTGAAGTGTAAATGCCAACTCAACAATTGAATATATCAGTTCATGTTCTCTGAAAGTTAGCCAATTTACTAATTTATAATTAAACTTATTTCACAGAGCTACAACTCCTACAAACCTTTCTGCAGTAGGGATGCCTTTGTCAAAGGGACCAGTGTGTTGTCTTAAATTCTCTCTTACAAGGAAGTAAAACCAGATAACCAGAAAAAATATGTGCCTCTTTGACTTTCCTTTTTCTTTGCTGTATTGGCTAATAAGTCATCACGTTGATTGGCACATTCTTTCTTATCTTTCAAGGAGCAATTTTCCCCTCTGATTTCCTTCTTAGAGCACATATCACTGTTTTCCCAAGCACTGACAACACAGTATAGGTCAAAATACGATTTTTTTATTGAAAAAAGTTTGCTTAGGCTGGGCGCAGTGGCTCCCGCCTGTAGTCCTAGCATTTTGGGAGGCCAAGGCAGGCGGATCACCTGAGGTCAGGAGTTCGAGTTCAGCCTGGCCAAAATGATGAAACCCCGTCTCTACTAAAAATACAAAAATTCGCCAGTCGTGGTGGTGGGCGCCTGTAATCCCAGCTACTCAGGAGGCTGAGGCAGGAGAATCGCTTGAACCTGG